ATAGTCCAGTGCATCCATCCATCCATCACATCATATTTGTAATTTTTGAACACTCTTAAAAATAAGGGTACTTTATTGGCATCGATGGTTCCACAAAAAACCTTTAAAGAACCGCTAGAATCTTTCCGTTCCACAAAAGGTTCTTTAGAACTTAGAAAACTTTTTTTTACTTGTTTCATGGAAGCTTGTTTCTCAACATGACATCATGACTTTTGCGGAAACATACACGCCACTTTCGAGTCAGGTGGCGTGTTATCTCTACGCATTTTGAGCTATCCAATGTCTACGCCATTAACGTCCGCGTCATTCCGCGTGTCCGAACACGCAGTCAAATCTCCAGTCATAAATGCCATTAACTCCAGTGACGGTTAAGTTTAGGGACGGGGTTGAGGTAAGTCATACATTTATATAACGTTAAGTCAACGGCGTTCATTAACACGCTGAAAGGCGATTATGCGTCTTGATAGCACGCCAAAAATGGAAATACGAATTGGCGTGTCATACACGCGCTACTTCATGAGATCAGTCTGTTTCTGCCATAGAATAAAAAATCAAAAAGGCAATTGTGACTTTATCTCACAATTCTGACTTTATATCTCACAACGCGCATATAAAGTCAGAATTGTGAGATTTAAACTCGAAATTCTGAAGAAAACAATGGGTAACACTTTATTTTACGACCCGCAAACAACTGTGTAAGTACACCGAAATTACGGTGTACATTTCTGAAATTATAGTGTACTTCCGTCTAAGTACAAGGGAACGATATGTTAAGTTTTGGGTACTAAAGGGGTAACAAACAGATATACAACCTGCAAATAACTTTGTACAAACAAAGTACACTATGTACATAATATATATATATATATATATATATATATAATGATAAAATTAAATTTATTGGCTTTTCTTACTAGATTACTACAAAAGTCAAAATAATTTGTTTCTACTATGATTTTAATTTAGACCGTACCATGTGGTAATTAGTACTCACCTTATCCCATTGAATTGCAATGACACTTAAATGTCAGGGCAAATATACTGTGTATTAAAACGTTTTTTTTTTTTTTTTTGATAAAAGTACCTTTCTCTGTAATTACAGTGCAAATAATGTTGTTTCGTATTGCTACATAGTAAGTAGCATTTGTTACTCCCTTGTTCCGTGTAGTTACAGGGTAAGTGTAACTCCTGCGGGCTGTAAATTAAAGTGGTGCTTGTTACCCCTTTATTACCCCAAACTTAACATATTGTTCCCTTATACCTACACGGAAGTACACTATAATTACAGAAACGTACACCGTAATTTCGGTGTACTCACACAGTTGTTTGCGGGTCGTAAAATAAAGTGTTACCAAACAATGTAGTATTTTTTTCCTTAGAATTGGACCTTTTAACTTGCAATTGCAAGTTTCTCACAATTCTGAGAAAACGTCAGAATTGCTACATATAAACATAAGGAAAACAAGTCAGAATTGCTATTACTAATTTCTATAGTTTATAACATGCAATTGCTACTTTATATCATGATATTCTGACTTTATATCTCGCAATTCTGAGAATAAAGTCAGAATTGTAAGATGTAAACTTTAAAGCAATTGTGAGATAAAAAATATTTTAAAATGTTTTATTCTGTGGCGGAAACAAGCTTACATTTTCTTTTGAAGAACAGTTGGGCAAGCAAAAAATGTCAAGAACTTTTTGTACCTTTTTGTTTTTAAAAGTAAAGGCATCTTGAAGGTGAACAAGTGTTTTGGCATCCATGTCAGAGGACTTTTTTTCCACATAACTAGTACAAACCTCTCACTCACAGACCGCCCTGCATCTCAGTAAACAACAGGGTGTCCACCGATCCCAGCAGAGAACTGATCATTATTTCTGCTGTTTTCCTTCAGTTTAGTTTGAATGAGACCAGCAGTGAACTATAGTGGCCTTCAGCTGCAGCACAATCTCCACCCTAAGACACTAGCGAAAGAACAAATAAAAGCCCCACAAAACAATCACAAACCCCAGCTGAATTTTCTGCCTTTGTTTTGCTATTTACATGAACAGATTGCGATAGCGGCGCTAGAGTGCTCGAAAAGGCGGCGGTTTTGTTTGCCGGCTCACTTTTAGGAAAGTCTCTTTTGTTTGCCTGTGTTCTCCAGTCCTCCGGGTCCTCGGGAATATTTATGGCGAAGGAAAGCGTTTTGTCTGTGACAGTTAGCGGGTTGTTCGTCTATTGTGCGGACTGAATAGAAACGTCCATCTTTTAGTTCACTCGGGCTGCTGTGTTTCTCAATGAGGACGTCTATGAGCAAAAAAAAAAAATGATTTTTGCAATGTCATCTTTTCACTAGGCAAAAAAAGAGGTTCTTTTCTATCCACATAATTAAATCAGCCTTAATAAATGTGTGGCCATTTGAGAGATTAGATTGTAATCCTTAGAAAACCATTCACATTGAGCAAGGTTTGCTTCTGCGGTCAGTGTTTGCATTTGTACGCATTAGTATGACAAGACAAGAGGTCAGGGTGGTCACCGAAATGGACAAACAGTCTCAGGCGGTGACTGGAAATGGCCGCAGATAATCTAACAGAGAAACAAACTTAGCGAAACGATATGAATCCATAAAGCCGCGTCCCGCGGTAATGAGGTTTGCTGATGTCTGAGCTTTTACTTCAGCCGATGTGCACGATAGAGGTTATTATCCCCGGAGAGGAATGGAGATTTTATCTCTCCCTCCATCACGCCGTGCTCGGATGTCCTTGGATGGTTTTAGGGGCGTCCGCGAATATTTTTGGGCCGATTTAAGATCTACTTGGCTGCATAACACTGTGACAAAATAATGGCTGTTTGGATTGCAATACTGTTTGTTTACTGATTTCTCTAGGCCTACTACTTCATCACTATTGCACACAAGTGTTGTCCCAGTTAAAATAGTTTTTTTGTCATAATTTTTAATGTGTACTGAAAACTGCAATATCTTATCACAACTACACAAGTAGTATTGTCAAAGTTACGTTTTTATTAAAATGTTGTGTTAAATGCAACCCGATCTCACTGGAATTCGTACGAATTTTACGAGGTGGCTAATTCGTAACAATTCGTACGTACGATTTTGCTAAATCGTACATATTTTACGAATTAGCCAATTCGTATGACTTCGTACGGATGACCTACCCCTGACCCCGCCCCTAAACATAACCGTCACGTGGGTTTAGACAAATCGTACGAATTCTTACGAATTAGCCACTTTTAAATCACTCGTACGAATTTTACGAGGTGGCTAATTCGTAACAATTCGTACGTACGATTTTGCTAAATCGTACATATTTTACGAATTAGCCAATTCGTATGAATTCGTACGGATGACCTACCCCTGACCCCGCCCCTAAACATAACCGTCACGTGGGTTTAGACAAATCGTACGAATTAGCCACTTTTGAATCACTCGTACGAATTTTACGAGGTGGCTAATTCGTAACAATTCGTACGTACGGTTTTGCTAAATCGTACGTATTTTACGAATTAGCCAATTCGTACGGATGACCTACCCCTGACCCCGCCCCTAAACATAACCGTCACGCGGGTTTAGACAAATCGTACGAATTCGTACGAATTAGCCACTTTTGAATCACTCGTACGAATTTTACGAGGTGGCAAATTCGTAACAATTTGTATGTACGATTTTGCTAAATCGTACATATTTTACGAATTAGCCAATTCGTATGAATTCGTACGGATGACCTACCCCTGACCCCGCCCCTAAACATAACCGTCACGCGGGTTTAGACAAATCGTACGAATTCGTACGAATTAGCCACTTTTGAATCACTCGTACGAATTTTACGAGGTGGCAAATTCGTAACAATTTGTACGTACGATTTTGCTAAATCGTACATATTTTACGAATTAGCCAATTCGTATAATTTCGTACGGATGACCTACCCCTGACCCCGCCCCTAAACATAACCGTCACGTGGGTTTAGACAAATCGTACGAATTCGTACGAATTAGCCACTTTTGAATCACTCGTACGAATTTTACGAGGTGGCTAATTCCTAACAATTCGTACGTACGATTTTGCTAAATCGTACATATGTTACGAATTAGCCAATTCGTATGAATTCGTACGAATGACCTACCCCTGACCCCGCCCCTAAACATAACCGTCACGTGGGTTTAGACAAATCGTACGAATTCCTACGAGTGAGGTCGTATGAATTAGCCACTTTTGAATCACTCGTACGAATTGGTCGTGAGATAGCGTAGGTTAAATGTCATAATTTGTGACTCGTTTGCTGTATGATTAAACGAATCAATTTGTCAAAGTAGGAATGATTAAAACTACAGTTTATTAAATTATCTGTTGCCTTTGTAAAAGTATGGGTCGCTCTCAGGAGTTCAGTGAATTCAAGCGTGGTACCGTGATTGGTTGTCATCTGGGCAAGAAGTCCATTTGTGAAATTACCTGGAGGGGGGATTATGGTGTGGGGTTGTTATATACTTCAGCTCACCGAGACATTTTGGACAATTTCATGCACATTTTGGCAAAAAAGTGTTAAATGCATACAAAATAAATGCATATTATGCCTTGACCCTATTTGTAAAAGTAATATAAATTCTTCTAACGATTACAGCTACATGTCAACTAACTGTTATTAGAGGATTAGTAGACTGTCTGCTTAATACACTCTCAGAAAAAAAGGTACAAAAAAGCTGTCACTGGGGTTGTACCTTTTCAAAAGGTAAACTTTTGTCCATTTTAGGTGCTAATAAGTACAGTTTAAGTGGTAATATGTAAATTTTAGGTGTTATTATGTACAATTTATGTGATAATATATACATGTAGGTGCTAATATGTACATTTTAGGAGCTATTATGTTCCATTAAGGTACTAATATGCACCCTTTAGGTACAAAAGTGTATCTTTTGAAAAGGTACAGCCCCAGTGACAGCTTTTGTACCTTTTTTTTTCTGAGAGTGCATCTGCTAACACTTAATTGTTTTGGTCCCCCAACAGATATTCAACTGACTATAAGTAACTTGGGAACTACAAGTCAACTTATTCTTCTAACCCGAACCCTAACACCTAACCTACCAGTCTACTGCACTCTCAGAAAAAAAGGTAAACTTTTGTCCATTTTAGGTTCTAATATGTGCATTTAGGTGCTAATATGTACATTTTTGGTGCTAATATAGACATTTAGGTGCTAATATGTGCATTTTAGGTGCTAATATGTGCATTTTAGGTGCTATTATGTACATTTTAGGTGCTATTATGTACATTTTAGGTGCTATTATGTACATTTTAGGTGCTATTATATACATTTTAGGTGCTATTATGTACATTTTAGGTACTAATATGTACGTTTTAGGTGCTAATATATAAATTTTAGGTGCTATTATGTGCATTTTAGGTGGCAATATGTGCATTTTAGGTGCCAATATGTACATTTTTGGTGCTAATATGGATATTTAATTGCGAACATGTGCATTTTAGGTGCTAATATGTACGTTTTAGGTGCTAATATGTACATTTTAGGTGCTATTATGTGCATTTTAGGTGCCAATATGTACATTTTTGGTGCTATTATGGATATTTAATTGCTAATATGTGCATTTTAGTTGCTAATATGTACATTTTTGGTGCTATTATGGATATTTAATTGCTAATATGTGCATTTTAGGTGCTAATATGTACATTTTTGGTGCTAATATGTGCATTTTAGGTGCTAATATGTGCATTTTAGGTGCTATTATGTACATTTTAGGTGCTATTATGTACATTTTAGGTACTAATATGTACGTTTTAGGTACTAATATGTACGTTTTAGGTGCTAATATATAAATTTTAGGTGCTATTATGTGCATTTTAGGTGGCAATATGTGCATTTTAGGTGCCAATATGTACATTTTTGGTGCTAATATGGATATTTAATTGCTAATATGTGCATTTTAGGTGCTAATATGGACATTTAGGTGCTAATATGTACGTTTTAGGTGCTAATATGTAAATTTTAGGTGCTATTATGTGCATTTTAGGTGCCAATATGTACATTTTTGGTGCTATTATGGATATTTAAGTGCTAATATGTGCATTTTAGGTGCTATTATGTACATTTTAGGTGCTAATATGTACATTTTAGTTGCTAATATGATCATTTTAGGTGCTAATATGTACATTTTAGGTGCTAGTATGTACATTTTAGGTGCTAATATGTACATTAAAGTACCAATATGCACCCTTTAGCTACAAAAGTGTACATTTTGAAAAGGTACCGCCACAGTGACAGCTTCTGTACCTTTTTTTTTTCTGAGAGTGTACAGCCTACTAATACTCTAATGAGAGTTAGTTGAAAAGTAATGTCTAAAGTGGACGATCGAAATAATGTGTAATCGTATAAATCATTGTGGGTTATGCGTGTTTTCCACATCTAGCGAAATGTCTTGCTGTCTACATAAGCTTCCTATACGACAATGCTGTTTATGCAGGCAGAGGTTTTGGAGTTAGTGTATTGACAAAAAAAATCTCAAAGTACACCTTATTTACCCCTGCAGAGTGCATATCATTTTTGAAGGATAAAGGAAGATGATATGCACCCTGTAGGCGTAAATAAGGTGTATTTTGAGATTTTTGCCCCCAGTAATATATATATATATATATATATATATGTTTCATGTTATTATGGATAACACTGTATGAACCCTTTAGGGCTAGATGAGGTGCAAAGATGAACAGTGTGTGTACTTCTCCAGTGTCAAGCTAAAGGTAAAATATTTGCACATTTATCTCTCTCAGAGTCTTGGTATTCTCCTTCCTACAACTCCTACTTGTTTTCATGGAGAGACTGAACTTGCATCAAAAGGCAGGTATGTACTGTATGTATGCATTTTACTTCTTAAACAGCCAATTAAATCCAACAGTTGAGAGCCAAATCAATCCTGCATTATAATTCAGGACAAAATTAGTCAAAACTGAAGAGCATAGTTAGCAGACTCCGCTTTTCAACAAAACTCATGGGAATGCGAATCCTTATCCGAGACGGACAGAAACTTTATCTTCACCTTCTTCACAGAAAACACACACATGACTGTCAGGCTGTCAGGAGAGAAGCGCATTCATTAAAATATCTGCGGCATTAATTCACACCTTAATGATTGACACGGGGAACAATAGACGGAGCTCGGACGCATTAATTGTTTTCTTTTAAATGATAATGAGTGACATTCTTGTGCGTTTGTGGAAGTGTGTGATTTCTGGCAATGTTGCACGGAGGGAGTTTAAACCAACTTTTAATCAGTCCGTTTGCAGTTGCACACAAGTCTCTCATTTGTTGTCTTTTTTACTTTTAACAGATGAGCTTTTTCAAGGTGTTGGATGTTTCTAATAGATTGAACATCCTTTAAAGTGCATTTAATCAATTTTTCCTCACAGGCATTTAATGAATTTTTTTAGTTTTAATAGTTTTAGTTTGAGTTAACCATAACATCACTGCACACTAGTATTGTGTCGGCGTGTTCTTCAGAAAATGTGTTGCTGTGATTATTTTGGTCTTGAGTTTAAATGATCAGGCAATGAACTGTGGACTTTAGTTGAAGTTGTGTTATAATATTCCTGCTGTGCTAAAATCAGTAGAAAACTCACACTGACTCTCTTCCAGTCAGACATGCTGTGAAAGAAGCTGTTATGAAGACGGTTCTGCTTCAAAACATAGTGTACACGTACAAATAAAACTAAACATTGTTGGCAAGTGAAGGCTTTTCCAAAAGGAAGTAACTTGATACTTGATTTTTTTTTTATATTTTACTACACTCAAAAAATGAACTAGGGAGGTTGTGCACTTTACATAATATATTTATATATAGTTTACTTATAATAATTATATGTTTTGATTTTAAATGTTTTTTTTCTATTAAGGTCTATGTAATTGTGTCTCAACTTAACAGTACAAAATCCTAAAGTGTTGTTTAAACACAAACCATTTATGTTAAGTAAAACATTTTGTACATCCAGAGGGTGGCAGTATAGTGCGAGACGACTGCCATTTTGCCCGAACTTAATTTTATTGTGTTCGATCTGCTTAAATCTACGAACAACTTAAGTTTACTTAATCCGTTTGTGTTGGATTACATGATTGATTTGTGTTGCATTAACTGAAACTGGGCAGTGCTTTTAGTTCCCAGCATGCTTTGCATATGGTTGAATTAAGAGAGAATAAATGTTAAAATTAAGTGTTATTTTATTTATTTATTTTTCATTTAGAAAAGGGGAAGACTTGATAGTGTGTAATAGTGTTTAATGTTAAATTACATTGGAATTATTAAACCATTTAAATTACCATTGTGGAGAAGAGTGGAGCATTTTGTTAGCCTGTCGACTGATTTCTAGTGATGGGAAGTCCGGTTCTTTTCCGCGAACCGGTTCTTTCGGACAGTTCGTTTTAATGAACCGGTTCAAAAAACCGGTTCACCAGTTCTTTTACGTCATCACGTAATGACGTCAATCATCCCGGCGGATAAAAATACTTCGAATTAAAGGCATTTGTAATCATTACTTCAGTTACATAATAGTACACATCGTCATAATCATCTTGGATAAGTTTCTTACATTTACATTTTGAAAACGAACCCTGCTGCAGCCTAGGCGATGTGCTAACGCGGATGTTTTACATGTTTTAAATATATAAAATGCATAAATGGTCTTCATCATTTTATTTGTTATTAAATAAACTTACATTTCGCCGATTCGCCCTCTCATTTAAGTCCTGGGTTCACCCGTACTACTGCGTGCTCGTATATCAGCACAGGATCAGCCGGCCGAAAGAAAGTTCTGTTCAGAGACGGTGCTATCACGCATGCGCAGTATCTCCGGCTCATCGGTTCTCCCTATCGAACGTGTCCGAAAGAAACAGTTCTTGGTTCTGTACTAGTGATTCAAGAACTGCAACAACCAGTTCTCGACTCGAGCAAAGGCCTGTGTGTGCTGAATATACAGTCGACAAAACTAAAAAAATCGATGCATGTCTGTCTCCAATATAGCCTTCTGTAGCCTATACAGTATATATACACATCATGTTTATAATGTGTTAACATAAGGAATTAAACATATGTTTAATTCGTTATGTTAACACATTATAAACATTTAAGCTGTGCACCATTAAAACCTTGGCAAGAGTTTACATCAAAGATTTATATTGTTACTTAGAAATTAAATGAGCTGTTCCTAAAAATATTATTTTAGTATAATAATAAATGTTTAGTTTGACAGTTTTAGAATCCAATCATTGTTTCCAATCGTTAAAATAATACAGTGATAATACAGTAATTATGTGATAAACATGTTTCCAAAATGTTTTATTTTGTTACACTTACTGATGTTCAACTAAAGACATGGAAACGTACATTTCGTCCCTCAGAAAAAATGCACGCATGCTCAGCTCATCAACTCATCAGTTCTCAGTATGTCGAACGTGTCTGAAAGAAACAGTTCTCGGTTCTGTACTGGTTATCCGACCGCTGTACCTGTACGTTCGGTAGTACACGCATGCGCAGTATCAGCTGCTCGTGCTCATCACTTCTCTCAGCACCAATATGTCTCCGTTCGGCAGGGGCGGTTTCTTCATTGGGGCGATTGGGCGACGCACCACCAAAGTGTGAATCATCACACTCACAATCTCATTCAACCAGAGAGTTACGCTAGCCATCACTATATAGTCCAATCAGCGTCATGTCACGTTCTGTGGAGTACCGCCTCTTTTTGGGCGATTTCACTCTGGCTGAAAATCGCCCAGAGTGTTCCCATAGACTTACATTCAAAGATGTTTTTTTTCGAACTGCAGGCACTGCAACGCATTCTCTATGGGTTCCGGGAGGGCTCGCACTAACGTGCTTACATCATCATACGTATCCTTAACTTGTGCAGCGATTGGCGGGAACAAACATCCACTATTAAAAATCTTTAATATTAAGTGACAAATAATATTTTAAAACAATTTTGAATTCAAACAGCAACAATAAAAAATGAAACACTACTTAATTATCTTTATCAA